GCGTGAAATATTTCCTTTCTAGGGCAGTTAATCTGAGACAGAGGAAACAATCATTTCACCCAGGAGGGATAATCCTTTGAGGAAAGTTTTCAGTGAAATAACTTATTGCCATATATCATCTCACACATGTTGACAAAGAAACTCTGGGCTTAATACAATAAAGGCCAACAAGCACAAGAAATGGAATAGATACAGCATAAAACCAGGTACATGGTAACACCAGCAGGGGATAGTGGAGAAGACAAGAAATCAGTGACAGCAAGCAATAGGATTAACAGCAAAGGAGGACAGAGAGCAGAAAGTAAACAATGGGCAGATAAGATGGAAGTAAATGTTCAAACCAAGACAATGGGAAAAGAAAATGAGTATTTTGGGGTCAATTTTTGAAGCCTGCGCTGCCTCAGAGCCTGCAGCACAGTGCAGCCAGCTCCAGGACAGGGTGGCCACAGGTGTTTCTTCAGCCATCTGCGCTTTGAATGGGCTCTAACAAGTAACACAGCAACAGGCAAGTCCATATGGATGTGTGTATATATGCAGAAGAAAAAGTAATATTCAAGGAGAAAAGTATTTTTGTTGTTTTAGTTTGTTTTCAGCCAAACCTTTTCAAACAAACGCTGCTGTCCTTAGGGGAAAAAACAAAAACAAACAAACAAAAAAAAAAACCTTCATATCAACTCACTTGCAAACAGCCCTTCAGAATCTTGCTACTAAACCCATGCTCCATCTTCAAAGAACACTCACAAGCCTTTCATTTTTGGCAGATAAGCCATTTGATCAATATTTTCAACATTAATCAAGGCTAAGAGCAATTTCATTTCTACTCTCTCCCTAAACTGTGTTGCGATCTACACAAGTGCATCCCTCTGTTATTGTGCTCAGGGTAAGTGGGTTTGGTTGAAGGGGACAGAAGCTTTCAGCAGTAACTAGTTCTGTTCAACCAGTAATGCTTCATATTTATCTTGCCTAAACGTCAGTACAGGAGGAAATGCTAAATTTTCTCTAGAAATATAGTTATTTAATGGAGCTTTTTTTTCTAAGTTGTTTTTTTAAATTGTAAGTGCCTTTTCATTACTTGAACTGATGACTCGTGTTGTCTTGATAATTCTTTTCTTCTGCAAGGTTTTATGTTCACAATATGCTCAGCCTGGAGCACTAATTAGAATCAGAAAACAGCTATACTCATTTTCTTTTCGCTGTCCATATTTATTTCATGAAGCTTCTTTCTCTCACCTAGCTCAGCATTGGTAACTTCCTTTAAGAAGTGTACCTAAGACAGTAACAGTGTAATGCTAGTGGGCAGCCAGCACATGTCAGAGGCCAGTGCAAAGCTGCCCTCAGCTCCACGCTGTGCCCCACACCAAGCAGGGAGCAGAGCGCTCACACACCCTGTGCCTCTCTTCTGCTTCCATACACATCGCCCCAGGCCTGGAGCCAGACTGAACAAATAAAGCCATAAAGCCTTATTTTTATTTATTTTTTTTGTCTCCTTCACAGAAAAATTAAAAAAAAAAAAAAAATGGAGAAGGAGCCATGGCTGCTTCCTTCGCTTTTGACCTGGAAAGCTGGGTGAGCAGTGGGAGAGTCACTTCACACTAATTCAGTGATACCAGGAGGAAGGCACTTCTACAGCACAAAGAAGGGGGGCTGTCTTACAAACTGAGCATTCCCAAGAGTTTTGCCTACAGCTTCTCCTTCCACAGCGTTTTATTTGCTGCAACCATATCGTACTTGTGATTAGATACTGTAGAGCTCAAAGGCAGAGCAAAGCCCAAGAGTTGAGGAAGCAGCAGAGCTGCAGTGACTTAAGCTTCCTTGGCAGCAGGTTCCAGGTATTTCTAATTGGACTGTCTCTGTAGCAAGAGAGAAATCAATTTAGCAGCTAGTTTGTTCTTTGGCCTTACTGACAATCTTAGCTAAATGTGGTTCTGGCCGTGCTGTATGAACAGCTACAGGATGTTCTCACTAGCCCACTTCCTAAATTCGTGTCATAAGCAGTCAGTACTTCGTTACTGCTAAGTAAACAAATATGGAATCAAGTGTAGAAAGGATCACACTGGGTATCAAACTCATTACCATATTTCCCTTCTTGAAAAAACAATGAGGCTTGACCACGGCAAGCTCTGTAGCAATCCCACAGGCTTACCTTTGTCTTTTAGAGCACCATGTTGGCTCTGTCCTTCTGCATTAGACACTTAGAACTTCACATAACTGTTTTTTTACCCTTTGTTTCTTTCTCTGATGTTACAGCATAAACAAAAATTAAAATAAAAATTGAAAAAAAGTTCCCTTTCACAAACCTCTCCAGAGCTAACAGGACCTTACTGAATGCTATCTGCTGTGCAAACACAAATCTAAGACAATTTTATAGGGCCTGTTATTTATTGGTATAGCAGCTTCTTTGTTAGGAGATGGCATTATAATTATCTGCTTTTATCATTAACACTTTGAGGCAGTGGTTAATGAAGGGGTAACAAATCACTGAAAAGACCACCAGTTTAGGGCTTTCAGCACTAAGGAATGTCTTTTGTATTTCGTATCCCTTGCATGCATCATATTTGCTTTAGATGTCTTCTGTTCTCTTACACACACGCACATCCATAATTGAACACATCTGATCATAATTTATTCACACAACCAATCTCTGTTGTTTAGTGTTAGTGCACATTAATTAAACTTTGGAGAGTAGTGGAACAAGAGACAAAATTCTAAATATCGTAGTAATATCTTTGTTTATTTATGTCTGCTCTGAAGAATCATTGAGCAAATAAAAACCGTAGACATCTGCTTAATTTTGCCAGCCATCACAAGAGCAGGGGTGAACTGCCGGGGTCCTCAGCTAAACTACAGAGAATGGAATCTGAAAACTTTCAGGCCAAAAATGAGAAAAATGCTCTACTTTAAATAAAAGTTCAAGTACCCAGGTTTTGCTGGCATTGTGTTGCAGATGTGCAGGCACATCTGCAAAGATATCTCACCAAATCCAAAGCAAAGCATACACAAGAGCACTGCAGACCACATTCCCCCATCCTGGGAGGTGCTGAGCTGTACCAGAATGAAAAGCATATTGTCAGCATTAAACTACTGTTCTTCAACAAGGAAAACAGCCAGCTTCTGACACCATTTACATAGAGAGCCTGTCACCACATTGCGTAAGTTTCACCCCATAGATAAGCATTATTCATCCCATACAGTTAGTTTATTTATCTCACCCTCCTGCTCCCATGCTCACAAAAACATACACAGCTTGGAGTGAAATCTAGTGCACACCCCTCTTTTCTTTCTTCTCTTAAAAAAAGACCATCACTTTTGGAAGGAATGAGTAACAACTGTTAAAACAAAACAAACTCCCCTTCAAATCCAGCGTGAAGCAGCAGGCCAAAAGAAGAGTGAAGCTTAAATGACCTGATCTATAACCAAGGCTAGTTAGGATTCCTTTTGAGTAAAAAATAGAGAAGAACAACTGGCAAATGTCAGCTTCATTATCATGAACTCATTTTAGCAGTGAAACAAAAATTAGCCCTTCGATCTTTTTTTAACAGACCAGACAATTCTCTACCCTCTTCCCATTTCTTTTGAATAACTATCATATTATGAGAACACCTCTTCCTGTTAGTATTAAATGCACGTTTCCATCTTAATGGCTATATGCATGCTTTGCACAAACACTTGATGTTTAAATAGTTTGGACATAATGCTGTGAAATAGTGAGTAGAACAAGGAGAAGCTGAGCAAAAAGAACATTGAGTTCAGAGGTAATTACTTCTGCAATGCTTACAATTTTTCACATTCTTCTTTAGAAATACTCAGAAAATGGAACATCGTGGTAGATATAAGAAATTCTGAAACACTTTTTTTTTCCAAGTGTTAGTGCCGCTGTTTAAAGCCAAGGTAGTATCTTTCAATCCAGAGTCTATAATCAATGCTACAAAGAATACTGCTGTCCTCAACCCAGTAAATCCCAATAGGGGTTTTCCAAAATAATAAGTTAGTGAGAAGTCAGATCCTAACCACTTGCAAATTACTGAAAATAAATATAATTAAATAATAAAATACTCCAGAAAAGTTAACAGAACTGTGCCATTTCATGCCAGTTTGGGCTCTAGCACAACCCAATTTGACCAAGATACTATCCGGCTATCTTTCTAGCCAACAGTTTATCACTAACACGATTTTTTTTTAAAAAGTCTCTTGGCTAAGACACATGGCCATTTCTCATCTTTTTTGTTTGTTTGTTTCCTCTCTCTCTCCTGTTTCTGGCACAGTTTTGGTCATTGGTTCTTTGACACCTTCCAGTAACCCCTTTCAGGCAGATCCTGAGACCAGGGCTTTAAGGCTGCTGTGGTCGTGGCAGTCTCTCCCAGACATCACCCAACAGTTACGGCTCTCTGGGATAGTGACTGAGTACTGCACTGCCAATCAGCCAATTATCCCTATTAGTACTATCAAATTTAATATTTTACTATTTATGGAAAGACATATTGTTTTCATGTTCCCAACATCTACAGGTAATACTCATAGGAGAGACTCTGACTGATCTCATCTCAGGATTAGTTTTCTGAATCCTTCCCCACATTCATTTGTTCAGTTTTTTGGACAGGAACAAGACAGTATAGCTCTTAATCATGCTTACCTGCCTAGGGATTTGCATTGCTTATTCACTTTTAGTGAGCCAGGACTACAAAGACATCCCCATCCTTACAGCTGATATTTATTGCTTCCCTAGTGTCTGCAAATATAAATACGAAGCCAAGTCTTTGAAGATTAAGATCTGACATCTACCATCACTCCCCAGAATCACACAGGGATGTACCGGCTTTGTGTATCTCACGTGAGCTTCCCAGTTTACCTAGCTGTAAAGGCACGCTTCAGCTGGCTTGAACCTCCAGTATGCAGGTTGGGTTTAGAAATTCAACTCCACACAGATGGGAAAAAAGATAGGAACTAATGTACATATTTCTGGCAGCTGACCGGTAGCAGAGAGAAGGCATTCTGCCTCATACCTCATTCAGAAAAGATCCCTTGGTGTCAGTTGCAGTCAGCCAAGGCCATCAGTCACGTTGCTCATGACCCCCAGGAGAGCAGCATGGACACTAAGCATCACATGAGGATTTCGTCCTGCAAAGGACACAAGGATTCCATTCAGTGACAAGTTTAAGATAGAATACATAGGATATATATAACAGCCCATAAGATACACTAAAATGTTAAATTTCACATCTGATAAAATGGAAATAATGATACTTTCTTGCTCCATAGGGATGTTACGAAGCTCAGTTTATTCTTAATAAAGTTAAATGTGATTCGCTGATGTGCCCTATCAATGCCAAGTACTATTACCTCTAAATAAAACAATCCTTCAATGTCTGTTGCCAAAGTATGATTTATAGAACAAGCCACAGTGCAAGACAAGGGACAACTCTGACAGATGTAGATCACGGCAGCCTGTAGAGCAAAGGGTGTTGCTGACACGGAGCTAGCAGCCTGCAGAAGCAGCTCATTGAGAAGCAAAAAGCAGCAATGTATTGCTTAACAGCTGTCCTAACTTTATGAGCATGCTGCTGGATGCTAATAAGTATTCCAACATCTATCTTATTGTGCACAATGATTATCTGTGCTACACCTTGAATTCTTGCTGTAAACAGATGCTTCCAACAACAAAACACTTCTCACTTTCCCTGGACTTGCAGATGCATGGATTGTGCTATTCCCCCCTCTCATGACAGCAAAGGAAGTCACAGCAGAACTCCCCAGAGTTTCTTGAAGTTTCTTTTCTTCTGGCTTTAGTTCAAGGCAACAGTAGATCATTCAGGTGATCTCCCTTAACATTCTTTTAAAAATATTATTAAAAACATGCAGGACAACATTTTCCACTGCTTCTTACAAATCCAGGAAATACAAATGAGAACTGCTTGCTGGAATATATCTTATCATCCTAACACAGTCAGTTCCTTGAATATGATGCTCAAATTGCAGTATCAAGATAGTTATAGCTGATATTCTATAAGAAAACAGATCCCTGATCCATCAAATACACCTTATGACAGAAAGAGAAAGGCTCACAATGATGATACAGTATTTATAACTACTACTAGAAATGAAAAATCCACAGTAGCCTAACTCATGATGACACAGTCAGTAATAGCCCAATTTCACTGCTAAGCAGAGACACTATTAACTTGTGACCCAGTAAGTCAGCAGCTGTGAAATAATGTTTCCATTAAAAAAATGGAACATGTTGCTTATAAAATGTTTACACCCAGTTTACCAATTTGTGTAGTAATGATGCTTAAAGTATGTTTCTCCTGAATAGCTTTGAGATGCTAAATGCAAAACAAGAATTAGAGGGCTAGAAAATAGAGAGCAGATAATTGCTAACAAAAAAAGACAGTATCGGCATATTGCGCATACCCAATGAAATCCATATGGCCACGGCTATTCTCAGCTCTCTCTGTAAATTCCACTTTGTGCTTTCTTCTGAGTTTGTATGTTCATGTTTTTAATTAAATATCCTGCAACTGTTTGTGTTTCGTGGCACAAAACTAGGCCACTGGAAACTCTGGGATAAATGAAGTCAATCAGCAATTGGCAGCTGAGAGCGTTGCTGCTGCCTCCAGGAGGAAAGGAACGCAGCTCCCCTGCGCGTCCCAAGGGGGCAAGCACAAGAGGGCAGCTAGGAGGCAGGGGGCATAAGAGGCAGAAGGGGGCACCTGAAGTAGCGTCACTTCTTTATGGAAACACAATAGAAATATATTCTCCAAAATTTCTGTATGCAAGATTTCTTGCATTTCAAGATTAGAGAGGCCTAGCCTGAGGGGAGTTACCCAAGCATGCTTAGCATGCTTCTGATTTAGTCGTGGGCTTCGCGGTACATTTTAAGTCATAATACACACAAGAACTCTTCTCATCTTTTCTTTTATTTATTATGTTCATGTCCAGTTCCTGCTCTGGAAACCTTATTTTCCCAAATTTGCTTTTGTAGCTCCTGAGAAAGGTTTAGCTTCACTAGGAACTAAAATATCACTTGTCAAAGACTAAATAGAAAAGCCTCATTACTTTACTGTAGGAGGACAAAAACCATACATATAAATATTTGTTTCTCCTGCCAATTTTTCCCTTACTTTTTCCTTACTGAAAGAAATTAATCCTAGTGTTTTCTAATATTTCAAAAATCCAGAAGACCCAGGACTCCACCCCACCCTCAAAATAAATGAGCATCATACGATTGACTTAAGTGTTGGACTCCCCACTGTCTAAGTAAACCTTCCTATTTACTTCTGTATACTACAGAAATGTGGGGACAGGAATACAGAAATCTGTGCCTATAAAATTAAAAAAAAAAAAAAAAAAAAAAAAAAAGATTATAAATTGCTAACATAGAAAATACTGAGAACATGGGCAGCAGAGGAACTCCTACAGCAGAAGTTTGAAAATGAATTTGGGAAGAGCTTTACAAATGCTTCATATGTAAGGCTGGATGTAACTATCACCTGACTGGGGGCACTGTACACCCACTCTGTGCTAGACAATAGGGAATGCTTAACATAGCAAAAACCCTGATGGAGAAACAAGAAAATCATACTGCCCTTTGCCCTCCCAGGAAATCTGATTCTCACTGTATGACTAACTGCAATGAACTTGGAAAAGAGAAGGAATCTGGATTAGATCTCCCCAGGGCATCTGTTTTGATAGATCTGGATGGAAACTCCCGCTGATACCTGATGAGAAAGGGAAATTAGAAGCGTGCATCCTCTTGTAAACACAGGCAAAATGGAAGGTACTTGGAGTGTAAGATATAGTACTCTGAAGCCCAATAACGTGAGCAAAGATAAAAACAAATTGTCCCAAGAGCAAGATTTATTAGCTGCTGTGAAAATTGCTAGCAGGACCTGAACTTCCTCAGATGAAAGAGGACTGAGAAAAGGTGTTGTTCTCCTGATCTTTGTCTGAGTTCACAGTACTGTCCGCTAATGAGGTTCAATTTGGAATTATGTGCCTGGCAACTTTTGAAGGCAAAAGCACAGATAAGTTTCAGGTAAGGAGAGTGTTACGGGTAAGGAGGATGTATAGAAGGAACTTTGAGATCAGCAAAAGTCTTCCAATAAATTCTAGATTTATAAGACTGAAAAACACTTTTTGGCATGACATCTGATGGACAGTGATAATAGAGCAGAAAATCCACCCCACTCCGTCCTCCCCTGTGTTTCCTAAAGAAGCTTCTCACCTAGTATGGCTTCTTGGCCTCAAAAGCCTTCTACAGGCACAAAGACAACCCTGAAAGCTTGACATTTGAACACTAGAACACCATTTGCTGTTCTTTAGGCCCTTGGATCCTACATGCACATGTACGAAAACAAGCATTACTCACTATAATCATAGAATCATAGAATATCCTGAGTTGGAAGGGACCCTTAAGGATCATCAAGTCCAACTCTTGACACCGCACAGGTCTACCCAAAAGTTAATTGTTAATAATGTCATATACATTGCATACAGAAGAAATCCTATTAAGACACTGCCTAGAGTTTAGTGCGTTAATAGCTCAGTGCTACAAGATGGAAAGCTTGTGAGGGTAATTTGTAGGAAATGGCCACATGCCAAACTGCTGTGCAACACGTGACTAATGTCTTTGCTGATATCCCCATTTCTCTGCCAGTTTCCTGCAGCAAATCCCGCAGCAAACTGGCAGCTCCACTCAAGTGAATGAGGCTGAGATCATTGAGATCTGCTGGGAATCTGCCTCTTCTCAGCTCTGTGTTCTCTGGGCTGCCACTCACATCTAAAACCTGCTGGCTGAGAACTGATTTAGCACCAATCCATGTGTGAGTACAGCCAGTCCAATTTCTCTTTCTGCCCCCTAGCCCCAGGGTACAGGAATATTTCAAAACAGAGTACCCTTGAGTTTTTTTCAAGCCAAAGAAATTATGTTTCTATACAGCCTCACATACAGCACCAGAAGGGACTATTTCTTCTTGGAGTAAGAACTTGAGGTGTCAGTATCACAAGGTCTTGATTAAGACACAGACAGAGGAAACAGGCCTGAGCAGAGGAATTTAGCTGGGGAAGATTTCTATATCTACAGTTACACAGCAGCTTCATGGCAAAGCTCAAAGCCACACACAAGCACTCTGAGGGAGGGTCCAGCCTGCTGCTCAAACCTCCTGGAGCCACATTCCCCTCTGGTCAATCCCTGAGGCAGCCAGGAGCAAAATCTCAGCACCCAACTAGCAAGACTCTCACTTCCTGAGATCTTTCTGCTATATGAAACTGAAAAGTTTCTATCTTTTAGCCACTGAACATCTGTTTAAAGACCACGCTAAACAAGAAATATTTCAGAGGAAGATGAAAGGATGGAATGAGCAGCTCATCCTAGCAGCACTAATGCAATTCAGAAGGTGCAAGAGCAGCTAAAAGTACTTCAGAATTATGAGAATAAGGATGAAACTGTGATGAAGATAAGTTTCCATCCTACTTCATGAAGCATAATTCCTTATTTATCTTGTTTATGTGTGGTAACATCTAAAGAGAAAGCATTGATGTTATTGCTTTTATAGCATGTGAAGTGTATTCCAAGTACATGAGCTGTGCAACACTTGGTAGGAGAACTTGAGAAAATCAGAAGGCTAAACCATAAAGTATGATAAAAGTATGGCTTTTGCATAGATATAAAAATGTTTGCCACCATTTTCAGGTGCAGGAAGTTCTGTAGCTAGAATTCAAAAAAGGTCAGTCCCAGCTTTGAGAAACTACTTTATAAAACCCTTCATAAAAAATTAACCTTACCATAAAATGATATTACAGCTATTGCATTAGTTACAACCGTAGATCTCGGTAGAACTAGAGAACCCAGACCATCTGCTCAAAGTGCCAAGGAGACAACCACTTTACTTCAGCAAACAAATAAAGACATACCATAAAGACAGCCCCACTACAATTCAGTAGATTTGCTGTTAAAAAGTGAAGCCTGTTAGTTTTGCAAGCACCTGGCTTCTGCAGCTTTATAAATTAAATGAGGGAGATAACAGTATTTACTGATGAATCCTCACCACTGATTTATTTGTTTGTTCTTCTTGATATTTATTAACATGATTACCTCTGAAGGGAGAGAAAAAAGAGTA